GGGCCCGGGCTCGGAAGCGGACCTCCGGGGATTAACGTACGCAGAGCATGGGAGACCCCAGCCCTTCTAGCTAGCGGCCGCGAGGGGAGGAGCAGGGCGACCTGTGCCCCCTGTCCTCTATTCCCAACACCCCGCTCTTTCCTGTGTAACTGCTGGCCCTTTGTCCCAAGCTCTGGAAAAGTAAGTTGGGCCACTAACCGGTTGGGCAGCATGGCCTTCTTCGCCCTAGGAGCTGACCGGCCGCGGACTCTGAGGGAGGACATTGGCTTTTGTTTCAAAATCGAGCACAGCTGCTGACTAAGGGCTGCGTTAGTCCAGTCTCCTCCTGCCCTGGGCGCTTGCACGTGCTGGCGGGCTCCCCTCTCTGGGTTACCTTCCTCTGTGATTTGGCTCATGGGGTCCCCGTAGAGGGCGTAAGGACGCATTGGCTGCCCCTACCGGAGTAAGGAGGGGATTTACAACCTCCTACAAATGGCTGAATGAGGAAGTGAAATTGGCTTTTGGCCGCTCATCAGTGGTCAGGAATCCTTGGATGCCCACGACAATCCGCCCTTCTTCATGAACTCTTTCTCACTCTTCTAGGCTGTGAACTCCGAGGACACGAGGGGAATGGTTTTTAATCACATAACAGATAATTATTTAGTGCCTACAGTATGTCAGGTACTCTGTCAAGCTCTAAGGCTGTGACAATGAACCCAACCAACCTAGGTGCTGCCTTCAAGGAGCTTTCAGTCAGCGTATTAAAATTCGTATGCTTTAAACTTCCTCATTCCCAGCCTGTAAAGAGGCAATTAGGGGATAAAAATACCGCTATGTTCAGCTACCTAAAGGGATTTACGCATTTAATAAACCTTTATCGAGAAGGCTGTGTACTAAGGGCTGGGGATACAAAGATAGCAATAACGTGTCCTTAGTTCTCACGGAGTTCTCAGGTAACGGGTTCCTGAAGTTATGCAGGGCTGGGAAAGAGGGAGCCATACTTTATTGCAAGTGCTATCTCTGTGTTATCTCTCAAGAAACAGAACATTAAAAAAATTATAAATGCAACAAACCCCTTTATCCCTCAGTTTCTTCCAAGAAACCCTCCTTAGTTTCCCAGATGGAATACTTTCCCTTTCCAGGATCCCCAGATGAGTTTTAGTCCATTGGATATTCCTACTCTTCCCCACTCATTTATATTCCCTTTGTTGACAAAATCTTGACTGATGCTCTCTGACTCCCTGAGACACCCTAGAACATAATGAAATACAGTGTTTTTACAAGGGAAGATATTAAGGGCTAGCTGCTTTCTTTAAGCCATCCTCACTGGACTGTCTTTGGAAATGGAGTTATCAGTCCCCACTCTTTGATACTCAGAAGATAGGACAATGGTTAAGTCAAGTATGGGGGTCTAGTGTAAGAAATTCAGGACAGATACATGAAGGTGTAATCATTTACTTGGCATAAAACAGACTTCATCTACTCTATTTAAAAGTGACTCCATTTTGAAAGGTTTAATCAATATACTCTTTTTTTTTTCCAGAGCACATTTCTTGGGAAAAGTTAATTAACCCTGTTCACTCCTAGCAATCAGTCCTCTTTATTGCAAGCCATTTCTCTTCAAACTGCCCTGGGGACCAAGAAATAGTGTAGCAACTCAAAAGAAACAGCAATCAACATGTATTATGGCCTTCAGGTGTGGCAGGTGATGGGCTAGGTTAGGAGGTTTCAAACACCTTTTCTCAATTAAGCCTTACAATGACCAATGAGGTAGACGCCATTATTAACATAACCATTTTAAAAGTGAGAAAACTGAGGCCCAGAGAAGTAAGTCGTTTTCTAAGATTCTGATAGTTGCATTTGCACCTGGGTCAGCCTGTACCAAGGCCATATTTTATCACTGATTTTTTGACATCTTGCCTTTTCTCAGTTTCTTTCATTTCCTCAGTTATAAATTAAAAAGAGTTACATGGCATGTTTAAGCAGCAGGTAGGTGGTAGAACCAGAAAGACACCTACACAGAGACCCCAGTTGGTAGGTGTGGATCAGATGTTGCCCTTCACCCTTAGGAGGTACTGAGTCTCAGAAAGACTTCCAAAGGACGTTTCTTCTACAGGGAGTAAAGGACAAACAGTCACCATAGAATTACCCAGTTGCATGCCTATATCTGAGGGAAACTGACCAGAAGAACTTCCAGAAAAATAAATTATTGTAAATGATATTTCAGGTGTGGCAGAGGAAACGTTAATTTTAGGAAGTCCTTCCAAATCAGGTCAGTAATCTGAGGAGGAGGTTGCCACAATCGTGCTATGTAGCTTTCAGATTTTACACATGACACCCCTGATTTTGGAAAGGTTGGAGAAAATGCAGTAAGGAATACAGACTATGTTTTACCAACTGGAAAGGAGAGAAAAGATACAATAGCAAATAATCCCTTGAATTACTGCCACAAATGTATTCCTGTTCCTGTTTATTACCACAAAATGATCCACATTTGTATACTAAGATTGTTGCTTGCTAATAAAATCAATACCATTCACTTTTAATAAATATAAAAATTGGTACTTAAGCTTAATTAAACCAACACTGTGTATTTAAACACTCAGGATTGTACTGCACAAAAGCGGTGTAAAAACTTTTAACTACCTTTTATGGTAATTCTTTACCAAAGTCAGAAGATTAAAAAAAATTCCCACAATCAACATAAAGAACTGTTTCATTATCATAAAAGAACTTCTTTATGCTAACTCTTGGTATTTGCATCCCCCTACCAACCATTAATCTGTTTTCCATCTCTCGAATTTTATCATTTTGATGTTTATATTTATACTTATGTAATGCTTTGAAGTTGAATGAACATTTTTTTTTACTAGGCGTAATGCTTATGAGGTTCATGCGGGGTGTTGCATGTATCAATAGTTCATTTCTTCATATTGCTGAGTAAATTTCTATTGGATGGATATACCAGAATGTGTTCATCTGTTTTCCCATTGAAGGACTTTTGAGTAGCTTCCAGTATGCTATTAGGAATAACACTTTTGTAAACACTGTACTGTAGTTATTTGTGTGAACTTAATTTTTTATTTCTTTGGAATGAATGCTCAAGAATGCCATGGCTGGGTCTTATGCTAAGAAACTGTCAAACTATGTTCCAGAGTGGCTGCACCATTTTACATTTCCACCAGTAACCTATGAGAAATCTAGTTTCTTCACATTCTCACCAGCATTTGGTATGGTCACGATTTTTTTAAAAGTTCAATTGTTTAATAGTTTTGTAGGGACAGGTCATTTCGGTTTTAATCTGGATTTCCCTAAATGACTACTGATGTTGAACATCTTCCCACATGCCATCCATATCTCTCCTCTTTGCTGAAATATCTGCTCATGTTTTTGGGCTATTTTATACTTGGATTTTTTTTTTAATATTACTGAGTTTTGAGAGGTTTTTTTTTCAAAAATATATTCTGGGATCATACTATTTTCAAATTGCACATTATTACCTCAAGATAACTCCATTTTCAATTCAGTCACCATTGTTCAACATTTCTATTGCCATCCGTTTTATAGAGAATATTCTCAAGTATTTGCATAAAGTATTCTTAAGTACTTACATAAAACTTGTAGAGAGGGTCTTTTCGGGATTATTTTTATAAACTCGCTTTCCAGCGGTCCGTAACCGAAACCCAGAGCCCGCCCAGCATGAGGCCGCGGCGCTCCGTGCACAAGCCGGACCTTCGCGCAGGCGCAGACGCAGATGCTGACGCTGACGCCGACGCCGCCTCAGGCTGCCCGCGTGCCGGCGATGCCGCGCTGGCTGCAGCTCAAGCGTGAGGGGAGGTTCGTTTTGCACAGTTCGTGTCTTTCTCCTAGGATGTAGAATTTGATGCTCTGCTTGGCTGTTTAAAGGATATTATCAGTCAGGTGTTCACACCAGCTCCTGTGGTCTCTGAAGTTCGTATTTTCTGCCCCCTGTCCTGGGGAAATCTGAGCTAGTTCTTGGCTGTGGAAGTCAAGTGAACAGGGATGACCTTTACCTAAGAGCAGCAAGGGTAGCGACTTCTAGGTGTTCTAGAGAAATTTCATGGACAAGCACTACCAGAGTTTGAAGACGTGACGAGAATGAGCTCATCCACGTCGATTTAAGAAGAAATGTGTTTGGTAGAAAGATACTGAAAAACATTTGTCAGAGTGGATTCCTGGTGTTAACATGGCGACTTTCACAACAGCCAGCAACCGTGAGGTACTTTAAAGATGAGATGGCTGGAAGCATAGTGACATGCTGGCTTATGTTTTCGGGTTTTCTGGCTTTTGAAGAATCGCTTCTGGATTACAGAACTGAGTAAGGGCCGTGGGCACTGAACTTAAGCCGTAGTTTAGGGGCGACTTCCTTGTACAGATCGTCTTGCGCGCCCGGTGCCGGGGAGAAGCCGGGCTCCGGCTCCGCCTCCGCCTCCGCCTCCGGGCTGTGGGTCTGGCTGGACAGAGCGGGCTGGAGGCTGCGTGCGGCTCGGGCGTATGACGGCGGGAGGTAAGACAGACCCTGTTCCGGGGCTCTTCGTTAATGTGTGGTATTGAGGGATAAAAAGAAAATGAACCGACCTTCCTGAAACCTCTGTTTCTCCTGAAACTTTACTGTGTCCAGGAGCTCTACTTTCGTCAGCTTAGGTGCCTTTCCCAGAGGTCACACTGCTCTGGGGCCTGACGGTGTCCAGCGTTCCATAAGGGGTCCCTTCCCTAGCTTTCCTGTCGTGACAGCAAAATGGAAGAACCTACTATCAGCAACCCTTTCTGTCCAAATTCCACAAGCAGGGTTGGCACGAATCTTTCTCTTGGGTAGAGTGAAAACCCTTTAGCCCAGTAGTCCAGCTGTGTGGGGTTTTGGCTACTTGGGAATTTATCTAAAGTGTTATTCACCCCAGGTCTTGTGGTCTCTGAAGTCCCTATTTTCTGCCACCCTGTCCTGGGCAAATCTGAGCTAGTCTTAGTTTTGGAAATCAACTGAACAGGGATGTCCTTTACCTAAAAGCTGTAAGTATAAATTAACTCCTAGTCTTGGGTTTGAAGTCCAGTTATTCCTGTTGATCTTGACGCAGTTTCTAGGAGAAACTGTTTTTTTTTAAACATTTTTTTATTGAGTTATAGTCATTTTACAATGTTGTGTGAGAAGCTGTTTTTTAAAGAATGATTTAAAAGAAATTTTTTTTTTAAATTGAAGAACACACAGGCTAATCTAGAGGATCCAATCTTGGCATTTCCTTGGTTACTCATTTAAAGATAGAAGCATTAAGTATAGTGT